ATTAGGGTTTCTCAGCCTTGGCACAACAGATTGCTTGAGCTAGGTTATTCTTTGTTGTGGGAGCTGCCCAGTTCACTGTGGCATCTTAAGCAGCTTCGCTGGCCTCTCCCACTAGATGCCATGAGTATCACACTCTTAGGTCAACAACCAGAGTGTCTTCGGTTGTTGCCAAAAGTGCCCTTGGGGGCCAAATGAAAATGGTTAAGAACCACTGCTCTAGCAGGAAGAGACAGCCATAATGAACATTCTGGTTGTTAATGCACTTTACTTACTTTTTAAATAGTAAATTGAGAAGTGATTTCCTAATTGTTTCATATTTTCATGTACGATTACCATACATCTATGTGGGAAAAGTTTGAGCATTCCTAGACCCCAAAAAGAACTTACCAAATCATACCAAATAGGAAAATTCTGTGTTTAGACCTCAGAGGGAACCTGCATGCAACAGAAGCGTAGGCAAAGGCCCCACTGCTACGTCCTGTGTCAGGACCTTTAGCAGCCAAGGAAAGTGGTCCTGAGCCTGTGGCTTTAGGACAGTCACATCCCGTCTTCTAAGAGGAGCCCTCTTGGGCTTGTCTAAGACCCTTCCAATTCTCTGCATGCTGCTCCCTGTGTCCCTGCTCTATATGAATCACCAGTAGCTAGTCCCAATCATTCCCCTGGAGTTGGGGTGTCTAGTATAAACCTCTGGTGTCCTCCCATCAGCAGCCTCCTGAAAGCCCATCGTCAGCACCTCTTCCCACCTTCCTTATGGCAGTCCATGGTGGTGATGGTGTAATTTCAGGTTTTCAGGCCTAGTCTCCCAGCCAGGAACGGATCCCAGGCTGCAGTGGCAGCGCTGAGTCCCAGCCACTAGACCACAAATGTTGGTGTCTCATGAAGCCACAGCAGGAACTTGACTGACGCTCAGGCAAGCAAGTGAGAAGAGGCAGATTTGTTTCGAGAAAGAAAAATTGATTAAGGAGAAAAGGAACAGAGTAGGGCTCCCAGGCCATGGAACCAGGCCAGGGAGGGAAGCTGAAGTGGAGTCGTGTCTCAGGGAATATACACCTTCTTTCCTAATTATTTTAAAGCTCCACCAGTCTCTTTGGGATTGGCTAGTTCTTGGTGGTCTCACTGTCTTACTGTTTCTGTGCCCAGAACTAAGTCTCTGTGTCCATCCCTTATCTTAGCATACCTTTCTTTATTGCCCTTGTCCAGGAACATCCACTGGCCCTAGTCCTGGGGCGCTTGATTAACCCCCCTGTGGGAGTTATTGTCATTCTCTCTGGAGCTTCTCTAATGTCTTTTGTTTCCCTTATTTCAGAAGCCTCTTTAACTCTCCCCAAGCCCCTGCCTGCGCTGTCCCTGACTGCCGGATTAACCCTAACTTGCCCTAAGACTCAGTGGGAGTATTTACACCACTAGAAGCTGGCAATTGACAAAGGCTCTACCTGACCTCCCTCCCTTATCCTCCACCCCCCAACGCCCATTAACTACTTAGCCTACACCCCTCAGCCTTCAGGGGACACACCTGTTCTCTCAGTGCCCACTTTTCCCCTCTAGTCATCTCCCCTCTAGTCATCTACCCCTCTTTCGCATTCATAAATGTAGCCAACTCGCTCATCTCCCAATATCAGTGATGAGGAGCGGGCCAGGGCAGGAATTTTCAATGGGTAACCAAAATTCACCCAGGCCTCCTCTAAAGATTTTGTCTGAACCATGTTAGACATCGAACATGAAGAAAAGTAAAAAACATAAAAGGAATAGTTAGCCAGTGCTTAATTTGAATACTTTCTGTTTCAGGGAGAACCGTCCAATGTTCTCTAATTGTATCTGATCTTACCAGGATCCAGTTCAGTGTGGTCGTGAATATCAGCTTCCCCAGGCAGTTCTCCTGGGTTCAAATTCCAGTTCTTTTACCTACAGCCTGTATGATTTTAAGCCAGTCGCTCTGCAGTCTTTCCTCCAGGGTGGTGCATGCAGTCACATCTGTATCCCACAATTGCTGTGAAGGCTGATTGAATGCATATGCAGAGTCCTTTGTACACATCAGGGCATAGCAGGTATTCATGTCCAGCTACTGTATTACTCACCACCTAGTCCTCCCTCACTGCTGTGTGGCTGGCAGTGTCTGCTGTGCCGCCCAGCTGCCAGCACCTCTTGGGTACAATCAGAGGCCATATGGGTCACACATAGAGACTGTGAACCCATTGTGTACACTGTTGTCCTTTATTTGTCATTCTGAAAGCAATCTCAATCTCTCAGAAGAAGGGTTACTAGGACTATAAACTAAAATGGATAATTTGTACCTTCAACTCCATGTTCAGTCATTTTGAGTTGTTGACACCCTAGGCAGTTGAGAGACATTAGAGGCTTTTGAAGTAAAAAGCCGAGACAGGCACCTCTGTACATAATGCTAACCTCCTAAGGTGGGTAATTTTCTTACTTCCATTTTCAGGTGCAGAAAACCGAGACTCAGAAATGCTAATGAACTTGCTCAGAGGCCTGACCAGAAAGTGGTTGGCGCCTCCATTCCCAGGCAGGCTCCTGAGGTTGAAAGGGCTGGGGGAGTGTGCCCAGGCCTGGGGCAAGTCCAGAGCCTGACTCTTGTGCCTTGACTGCTCTCCAGTCCCACCTGATAGATCCATGACAGTGAATGATAGCAGGTATGAAGTAGGCAAAGTGTAAGGAGACCTGGGCAGGTGGAAAGTATGCCATTTGTGCACAGGTCTCTGATTAGGAAATACATCACTGTGTCCTGGTCAGGGATCTTGTGCTAATAAAGGAAGGTAAACATTCAAAGCAAAACAAAACTTGATAACTGTGATTAATGATCCAGAAATGCTGAGCCCCCCAGGCCCCCTCTCTACCTAGCTCCAGGAGGTTGAATGCTCACCCCCACCCCCACCCCCACCGGATCTGTAAAGGTTAAAACCTGCCTGGAGGTGTCAGCAGGTGGGAATAGTTGCTTTTTTGAAAGAGGTTTGACCTTTGTTTTTGAGAATTGCTGATTAGAGATAATGCCCATAAGCGGTCCCTTAGAAGGGTGGGTGTGTTTGACTCCCAACACCCATCAAAAGCTGGCAGCTTAGTGTGATCCATATTCTGATTAGCTTTATATTTGAATTCAAAGCTGTTTCTATTGGCAAGACTCAATGCTTTGCTCTTGCTGCCAAAAGCTATGGGGTTTGTGCCAGTGGTTTGGGGAAGTTGGGTGGTGGTTTTTTCAACAGACTGTGTTCTCTCGGTCAGCAGAGTTGCCTTTCAAAACATCCTGACATTACTGAGTTCCTGAACATGCCCTCAGGAGTAGTCAACCCCAGGGCCCATGAAGGGAGCACAGGTGGCAACTGGGGGAGACAAGGGCTCCCCTAGGGCTACCTATGCCTCCACCGACACCCAGAGGTGCAGGGAGTGCCTCTGCCTCTGCCTCCTGGCCTGCCGGAATGTCCTTCCACCTGAAGGGCTGCTGTGCAGATGACCTGCCTGTTGCAGGCAGCGCCCAGGTGGGAGGCTTGGAGACCGGACTTACTCTTCATCAACTTGAGAGACAATCTAACACAAAACAGGGTGAGTACGATATCACTGGCAACTCCCTCTATCTTGATGCCAGTCATCTTTCCTGAAGCTTCTAATCCCAGCCCACCACCAAATCCCCTTCCAACTCCAATGTTTGGAGAACTACAACAATAAACATCACCTGGCCCGTTAAGATGTTAGGGTCCATTAGAAAGGTGAAAATTTTAAATAGAAAAAAATTAAAAACATAGTAAAGCCCTCCAATTAAATTCAAAAAAAGACTGAAGGGAAAATGTATTTAACTGCTTGTCCATTCTTCTAGTTATTAACCTCAAGCAAGACTGGTGTAAAATTCCACCCATTGTGTGTGGGGCTTTCAGGAGTGGTAGGGGGTGGACTGTCTGGGAAGCCTTTTCTGGAGCTCTGCCACAGCACCCACAGAAACTCTGAAAGATGAGGGGCTTGCCATGTTGTTTGGTTGCTGAGGTTCGGTGCATGTTGAGATTCAGTGATGTTGACCCAGTCTTGGTGGGAAGAGTTCATGAAGGAAATCTTAATCTGAAGAAAAGTACAAACTGATTTATATTACGGGGCAAGGCAGAGTGAATCCCAAAGGGGTCTGGGCTTGTATTAAATCTTCTGGTGAAAAAGGAAGGCGACTGCTTGGGAATTTATAACCAGGAGTCCCAAGAATCAGTTTGTCAGTCACCAGTTATGGGGTAAAGATTGGTCACTGCTAACTCTGGGGTTGTCAAAATCAGACATTAAGAAAGTTATTCTCCATACGATTTGTGAAGCATGTCTGGCAGTTAGGAGGTGGCAGCCAGAGCATCTGGGATGACTGTACGAGGAGGCTCCACAGTCTCGTGAGGGAGCCAAGGAAGACAAGAATCTATGGGCATAGGAACTGGCATTTGTGCACACACCCAAAGAATTAGTTAGGTTGCAGAGCCCTGGTTTGAGAACGTGGACAGTAACACAAGGGAAACACCCTAAACCAAGAAATCCCAGGCAGGCAGGTGAGGGTGCTGGGCAACTTGTTGGGGTAACAGAAGGCATGGACATCCCCAGGGTTAAACAAACTTGCCATAAACACTGAGACCAATATCAAAACTAGGGTGAGAATTCAGGCCTCTTCAAGCCTATTTAGTCATAACGTTTCTCAATTATATAAACCATTCTCCCTTCTTAAGTATTCTAGGTATTACTCTGGGCCATCATATCATCAACACTGGACAATATATTCCTCTGAATATCAATAACCAACAGGGTTAGACAGAGCAGAACTCCAATCTTCTTCCTTTTGTAATAATTACGTTAATTCAGGTATTTTCCTGTTTTCTAAATCTTCCTCCAAAGGGAGGTCATTTGTAGTAGTTATGTCTGAATATAACTGTATTTATTTTCACCAAAGTAATTTTAAGAAGAGGGTGATGTTGTAATTTTGAATGACCGTAAGATACTTTTCAAAGCTGGATGAAAAAAATTAAAGATTGCCTAATTAAAAACTTGTTTTATTGGAAGTGAAAACTGAGCTTCAGAGAGATAAAGTGACCTGGTCATGCTAACACAGCTAATGGCAGGAAGGAATGGGAACATAATAGAAGTTTTTGACTTCAGCCTGTGTTGTCTTTACAGTTCTATAGTATCATGACTGTTGAGTCACAGTTAGGAACACAAAACCGGGCTAGCTCAGACAGTAGGTACCACATGGAATATTCCAAGAAACACTTACCAATGTAGTGTGTTTAAATACTTTTTCATTAAAGATGTGCGTGTCCATGCACGCGTGTACACACACACATACACACACAGCCACATGCACACACAGAGGCACATCACTTGCCCTCTTCTCTGGCTTCGTTTTACACTGTCAGGGAGTGTTTTACAAAACTAACAACCTTAAGAACAAACCGCTACATCCTTTTGAACAATTACCTTCCTTTAAAGGAATAGGGAGCCAGGCAGTGAGACTGGAAAGTGCAAATAAGTCTCCCTCTTTCCAGAACTGTCTCAGTGGCTCTGAGCCCCCTCAGTCACTGCCCAGAGGTTGCCCCCCTTATTGGAGAGTCATTGGAGGGTGGGGTGGGGTGGGGTGCAGTGAGGCTCAGGATTCCTGACTGAACGAATTTGCCTCCCAGAGTTGAAAATAGCTAGTTGGGAGGTTCCTTTCATCTCCCATTTTTACTTCATTATGAGGAAGGCGGGCTGCACAGTCACAAATGGTACAAATGCATATCAGCTTCAATAATTACAAAAGCATCAGTATTAATTTCCTAGGACAGGGATGCCATGAAATTACCATAAACTCAGTAGCTTAAAACAACAGAAATTTATTCTCTCATTGTTCTGGAGGCTGGAAGTCTGAAATCAAGGTATCAGCAGCAGGGAGTGTTCACATCTAAGATTGGGGAGACAGCTCCAGGCAGCTCTCCCAGCACCTGGTGGCCACCAGCCCTGGTGATCCCTGCTTTGCGGAAACATCACCCCAATCTCTGCCTCAGTCACATCTCTGGCCTTCTTCCCTGTGGATGTATCTCTGTTTTCAAATCCCTATGTCCTCGTAAGGACGCCAGTCACTGGATTTAGAACCTCATCTTGACTTGACTACATCTGCAAAGACCCTATGTTCAAATTAGGTGAAATTCACAGATATAGGGGGTTCAACATATCTTTTGGGGTTGCAATTCAACGCACAAGTAGTATCCAAATAGGTCACTATTGTGTTGTTCTCTATCAGCACCAGCAAGCAGCCCCTCTGCGTGGGTGCCAGCCTTCCCGGGCCATGCTCAGATCAAGCCAAGGTAGCCAGGCAGGTGCCGTCCTGATTCTCCAGAATGAGGAGATGTGCTCACAAAGGTGTGCTCATTCTCCTGCCGTCTGGTATTTTTGTACATGTTCGGTCTCTCATCCTGTGTTTTAAAACTCATCATTCAATTTACATTCCCAAGTTCTGTTTTTCTGTCTCTTCTATCCTGACTCCAAAATGCACAAAGCAGGACCTGAGACCTTTTGAGGTGATGCAATGAGGGAGGGGAGAGGTCATGAAATCCTTCACACAAGCTACTGGTTTTTGAAGTAAATCTGAATTCCTATAAGTTTACAATTTCTTTTTTGTTCATTTTTGCTTATAGACAGCGTTAGAGTTGTATCCTTCGTGTCAAGTAGCTACTGAAATTGGGAATCCCCTCATTTTACTTTGGGAATGCATGTGAGGCAGAGGTCCTCTTCTTACAACATTGAACTCCAGCATTTCTGCAGAAGGGAGATTTCCATAGAATTCGAAGGATACTTTCAGTTGATAAATATTGGCTCTGCTGAAGGGGGGATTTTGGCTTCACACACCAATGCCCATTACATGGCGTCTGTCCAGAGAAAAACTCAGCCTGGAGTGCAGAATGGCATCATGGGGACTGTCACTCAAAGAGCTCCAGGTAGTCGGGCAACTGGTCCTGCTGACCACAGGGGTACAGAAGGATCTCCTTCCCCAGAGATGTGATGGGCTCCTCCTGGGAATCAGAAGTCACAGGTCAGGTGGGGCAGTGGGTGAGTGAGATGTTAAGACAGTATAAATAATATCGCCATGCTCTCTCTACCTCTCCAGAGAATAGATCTTCCCCACCCTTGATTTACAACCTCTTATTTATGACAATCCCAAAGGATTGTCTGCAAACTGCCATGTACTCTCCCTCCCAGGATGGCGTTCTTTACTAGAGTGTTCTCAAATATGATCAGTGAGTAGCACAGATTTGTTAGCATTTCCTGTATTCTCTGCCCCCCAAAGTCTCCCTGAGTGTTCAAGGAAGAACTAGGTTCCATGATAATGGGAATGCAATTAAGAATCCTGATTATCGGGAGGAATTATCAAACACTAATCCCCCCCATTACTGTTTCAATCCTTTTTCTTGTAATTGCTTTTCATTGTTAGAGCTGCTGCAAGACAATTCCCAGGGCCAGTTAAGTCTGTACATGGGATCACCTTGTGATACTCCACCAAGTCCGCCAGGGTGTTGTGTTGCAGCTGGTCCACACCCAGGAAGCTGTAGGAGTCCGTTGAAGCATCTATGAGGAAATGTTTACAGCCGTCTTCAGACAGATAAGACAGGGCATAGCCTTTAATCCTTTCACTGACACGGATCAGAAAACTGCCAGGCACACAGGTGCTCAGAAGTTCATCTGCTCTCTTCAGTGTGAGAATTCCTATGGGAAAGAAAGGCAAGTATTCCAGCCAAGTCATTTCCAAAACTCTCTCCTGTTAAATACATCTGTGTGGATAAAGGTTAGTAAAAAATAAGGACATTCTTAAGTGCATTTGGTGGTTCTTAGGAATATAGTAAAGTATCATTCATTTTCTGGTATTTGGAAACTTGGGAAGGGTAGGTTCCAGAAGCAAATGCTGAGATGTGTAAAAGTTTAACCTTCAGAAGAATCCATCTCCATTCAGACACCCACTTATAACAAACACAGGTACTGGGTGGCTTCTGAGTCTGGTGGGACCTTTTTTTAAAAAAAAATTATTATTTATTTATGCATGCAAAAACTGGGGTGTAGGCCAGAGGCGTGGGGGGTGAGAGGATACACTAGAGACAGAGTGGGGAGCAGGACAGGTGCATCTACTGAAATACACTGCTGAGGGGAGCAGAGGGCGAGACAGGAGAGGTCTACTGTGCCGTATGTGAGTAAGGTCTTTGGCCAGGGAGCCAACTCAGGCTGTACTGGTGATAACACTGAGATTTAACCCGTAGGCCCCCAGGGAGGCTCTGGTGGGATCCTTGACAGTCACACTAGGAGTATTAGAGCTGAAGAGGGACTTTAGATGTCTCCTCAGGCTAGCCACCTCAGTTTACCCGTGAGGACCCTATCACTTATGGAATCATTTGATTGGGCTAGATGGTTCTCAACCAGGTCAATGTCTAGAAGTGTTTGAGAGACATTTTTAGTTTTCAGGGCCATGTGTATGGGGGTTCTAGTATCCAGTAGCCAGGGATGCTGCTAAACATCCTACAGTGCACAGGACAGCCGCCCCCCACCCCGGCCCCGCACAGCAAAGAATCACCCAACACAAAATGCCCCAAAGTCAAAACCACGACAGACAAAAGTCTACCAAATACCCTCTGTAGTTTTTCCTAAATCAGTGAATGAATGAATAAATGCGTGTACACAAATATGTTTATATATCTTCACATATATTAAAAAACAAAACTGACATATTAAGATTGGTGTATGTGTGTGTAAGAAAGAAAGAGAGGTAGATTATTCCAGATTCATAAGGTTTGATTCATCTTCCAAATTCCCCTTCTTGTTCTCATTGCAATTCTTCAGATGATTAGATAATGTTATAAAACATATAGAAAGTATACAAACACATTTTGGGAGGATGGTTAAGTCACTGAATTATTTAGTCACAACTAGTTGGTGTGTGTGTGTGTGTGTAAGAACAGTGTTCTCCTAGTGTTCTTTTTTATTCCAGCAGACAGAAGTTCTTGCCTTCTTTTGTCTGTTCCACAATTAGCTCCTTGTTTATACTCAGCATCTTATTACTAGGAAAAAGACCCAAAAAAGCCTCCTGATGAGAAGGCAATGAATTAGCACAGCCACTTGGTCTTCTTGTTAGTAAAGTTAATTGATAATTTACCCTAATTATCCAAAGTAAAGCAAAATAAAACCATTTCTATTCTTTTTCTTAGCAAATAGACTTTTAATAAAGGGGAGGATTTTAAAAAATCACCTATTTTCCCCCAGTGAGGACCAACCCACCATCCCTTGTCCCACCTCCTCTTCTCCCTTGCACTATTCAGGAGGCCCCAGGGTCTGCATTTCAAAATTCCAGCACAGGAGCTCCACCACAGTGAGAGGTGGGATAGAGTTGGGTGGTGACAAGGCCTGGCATTGCACCCCATTCATAGACAGGAAGTGTCCCTGAAATGAAGATTTGTGGCCTCTCCTATAGACCCTCTGGCACAATTGTGTTGGTGCCCAGCAGGGTCTTGACACCGGTCACCTCTCACCCTTCCCCTAACAAAGCCCAGCCCTACACACCGCAGACAGTGGCCCCAGCATCTGTGGAGCTGGGCACTGTCCACCTCAGGGGCCCGAATGATGCCGTACCAACTCCCACAGCATCGACTGCTGGTTCATTTGTCTCTTTCACCTTTCCAAATACACCTGGCCTGTGTTCACTGCAGCACTATTTACAATAGCCAAGTTGTAACAACCTAAGTGCCCAGTAACAGAGGAGTGGATTAAGTTGTGATACAGGGGGTTCCCTGGGTGGTGCAAGGGGTTAAGCGTCAGAACTATGAAGCTATCCTCAGTTACTGCAGCACCAGTTCCATCCCCGGCCAGGGAGCTACCCACATGGCACAGCAGACCTCTCCTGTCTCACCTGCTCCCCTTAGCAGTGTATTTCAGTAGATCTGCCTCTGTCCTGGTGAATCCTCTCACCCCCTGCACCTCTGGCGTGTACCCCAGTTCTTGTATACATAAATAAATAAATCTTAAAAAAAAATTAAAAACAAATTAGATGTGAAACAGGTACACAAAGGAATACTACTCAGCTCTAAAAAAAAATACCTGCCCTTTGTGACAACATGCATGGAACTGGAGGGGATTATGCTAAGAGAAATAAGTCAGAGGGAAAAAGACATACACCAGATGATCTCACGCATATATGGAATATTGACAAACAAAAACTAAGGAACTGACAAAACGAAACCAAAACAAACCCTAGAAATATGACTGCAGAACTAAGGCTGCTAGAGAGGGAGGATGGAGGTAGAGGTAAGAGGGGAAGGGGCCCAAGGTCTTCGGTGAAGGACTATGTATGGGTGCTTAGGTGGTTGGTGTGGTTTGGTGACATACACCTGAGGAGGTCTGAACCTATTTCCCAAATCATGTACAGTGTTGGAAACCAGCATCACCTCAAAAACCCAAAAAAACAAAAAATGAAACTTAAACACATTTGGTCCCACTGATAAATTACAGATGTCAACGATAGGCAAAAACAATGTACAGGCAACAGATTACCCAGGGGCTGCGTATGTCTGAGGTTTGAAGACTGAATTTGACTGTCTATAAAACCAGAGATATTTCTCACTGACACTGGAAACTCCCCTTCGTAACAGAGAGGCTGAGAGGCCAAGAATGAAGGAAAGCAGCACTTTGGGAAAAGATTTCTTTCTCCTCCTAGACTTACTAAGAAGCTAAATATGAAATTCCAAGTTTCTTCAACAGATGGGGCAGATGCTATAATTTACAACATCTGGATGTTATCCAGATGGATTTGTATTCCTAAAGTAAAAGCTGTTCTGGAAAAGTATAACTAAATCTGGGTTTCAGTCAAATTCCCCTAAAATCAGGTCATATTGTAGCTGTAAATCAAACTGCCTGTGAGCCTCTCACTCTTTAATTATTACCCATTACGCACAGGTCTTGGCACTTTCTACTCTCCAGAGATAACAGAAGACAATAAAATGATTTTATGGCAAAGCACAGGCCATAATGGAAACTCCCTGAACATAGCGGCACTGATGGCAGGTTCAGAAGGTAAGCACTCTGGAAACTAGACTTTGTTCTTTTGGTTTTACAACAGGCTTATTATTCCTGAAGTGCACACTCTCTTTCTTGGCCTTTCTGATGACGCAGGTCAGTGTGCAAGGGGGCCTGGCCGAACTCACTGTTCTTGAATGCGAAGCCAAAATCCAGTGTCAGATATTAATCTCTGTGGGCTCAGGAAATCCCCTGACAGTTTTAATCTCCCCTGATTTGCCTTGTGCACAACATTTAGGGTTCTGAAGCAGTGATCTTTTTCCCAGCCTTGCTCTGGGCCTGGACACCTCCAGGCCACCTCCTACTGACTGTCTCTTTGCATCTGTATTACAAACACCAACCCCATCTGCAGTCACATGAGGATTTCTGTGCTAGTAAAAAGAGATTTCTTTTACTTCATCAATTTTTGAAATGAACAGGCACCCTCTAGAGCATGGTACTCGACATCACCTCCTACGATGATGGAACGTCGTCTGTGCTAGCCAGGTGGCAGCCGTTAGCCACTTGTGGCCACTGAGCGCCTTAAATATGGCTAGTTGAACTCAAATTTTAACTAGTTTTAATTAATTTTTTAAGATAAGGAAGCACACGTGGCTAATGGCTACCTTACTGGACAGCACAGCTGTAACCTTTCTGTAGCGAAGGTTTATCACCGGGACAGGACCAGGAGAACTATGTTTTGCACAGGAGAGGGTAAGCAGACCCTAAGGGGCCTGAAGTAACTTAGAAACCCTTTCAGGGCCCTGGTTGGAGATCCAAGAGGCAGCAGCTACCCCACAGGAAGAAGACAGATCAATGAGGCTGTAGGGTAAATATTTGTCAGGCTTTTACACTGCTGGCCTCCGTGGCTATCACCTATGGCCTTGATTGCACTAATGCAGGGGGCGCTTGGGAGCATGGGCTCAGGGCATGCATGCCTGATGGTGGACACCTGGAGTATGGTATGGGCCTGCATAAATGTGCACACCTGAGCCTGGAGGCTGAGGCTATAAGGGTGGCGTCACACAGGAACAGCTACAGCGGAACAGCTACTCTCGAGAGGAAGACCACAAGAGAGTGCCAGAGAAAGTCTAGAGAAAGTGTAAAGATTCACTGGGAGCTAGGAGGCCTGCCAGCCTCCCGGCCATTGGCCTCCCTGCCTTGCCAGCCTATGGGCTTGCCCCACAACAATTGGCATAGGAAGAGCATTAAAGGCCGAAACAGCCACAGAGGCCTCGGGGACTCTTCTTTACCTGTCTGCACGAATGGATAGAGAGCATGCCCCATGTCTTGCTGGCACTGCAGAGGTCTTCTCCAGTTTCAGTCAAAATTCTTTATGATTCAACTCAAGGGCACAATGCTTTCCAATTTCTCTCTGAGCAGCAAATCTGGGGTTCTTCCAGACCTGCTGAGCACCTGGTTCCCACCTCCACCTGGATACTCCCTGGTCTGTCTGAGGTCCCACCTGGTTCCACCTCCAGCTCAGCATCCACTACTGACAGCTCCAGCAGAGTGCTCATAGCACATTCTGCTTGGACTTCTCTGCCCACCTCCTGTGACCTCCTAAAGGGCCACTGTCTTTATTTTCATACTGGCAGCACCTGCCAGAAAAGGTCTAATAGAAAACTTTGTCCTGCAATCAAGTCCTCCTCCTCTAGGACACATCTCTTCAGCCACTGTCTCCAGTCTGAAAATTGCTGTCACAGGCGGGATACACTTAATGGTCTGAAGCACAACCAGACCCAACTTGGTTGATATGTCTATATCATGTGGCCCGCTTCTGGTATGTGGAAAATATGCACTTAAACCAAACAGGAGACAACCCAATAATAACAGCACTTAGAGTTCTTAACTTCTGCCTGGAACTCCCCAAAGTGTGTTTCACATTATTTGAATCCTCACAGTGGCCTGACAAAGATCAGAACTGCTACTGCCCTCAAATTTCAGGAGAAAACCTGCATCACAGAGAGTGCACAACATGTGTGAGGTCGCTCAGGCCAGAAGAAGGCCACAGTCCAAACCTAGAAACCAGCTTCTCACTGCCTGACCAGAAACCCCCACCCACGCCACATCACACTGAACATGCTTCCATTGACAGTTTCATTCAATCCTCAAAGTACTTAAAGCAGAAAGAATGGACATGATCATCTCCCTTTTACAGATGGGAAAACTAAGGTAAAAAAGGCATATGCCCAAGGTTACTGGATTAGTTATAGCCCAGGTCTTTCATGCCCCACTCTAGTATTTGGTTTGTAACTGGGTGTAGGGTAAGTGGATTAATCAGGCTTTTTACACCACTAGCCTCTGTGGCTATAACCTGCAGCCTTGATCATGTTAATGCAGCAGGTTCTTGGGAGTGTGGGCATGGGGCATGGGGCGCCTGATTGTGGACAGCTGGAGTATGGGTGTGTACACACGTGTAACTATACACACCTGAGCCTAGAGGTCAGGGAGATACGGGTGGTATCACTCAGAGAGACAGACAATGAGAGGATGAGTGTTGTGACTACGGAAGATGCGAGACCAGAAGAGAATGTCAGAGAGCCCAGAAAAAGCATAAAAATTCATGGGGGGCAGGGAGGCTCAGTTGCCTGCTTCCTTGCATGCCAGCCTCCCTGCCTGGTGTCCCTGTGTGCCTGGTTCCCTGAGAGACAACACTTGAAAAATCCACTCTTCTTCAGAGCCTGAATCCATAGTAAACCTATCCTGTGCTTGGTGGCACTAGACTGGGCTCAAGAAATTTTCCTGGAATGGACTGAAAATAAAGTAAGAGCATGTTTTTCCAGCAAGAGGTGCTCATTTCCATGGACTATGTAGGGAAGGCTTATTTTTCAGTGACTAAGTATAGCTATCTGGCAGTGGAGATGATGACCTCTGCACCCCCTAAGCATAGGCCCCTGTTGCCATAGGGTTTTGAAAAGCTCCAGAGTGCTTCTAGCCTCCTGGTCTCTTGGGCCACACAGGCCCTGGGCCCAGGGAAGCCACTGTGTGCTGCACCATAGCACCTCTGCCAGGAGCTCTTCTGTCCTGCGCTCTGCCCTGGACTGCTGCAGGAACAGTGGCATGGTGACAACATTTCTGAAGGAATGCATCTCTGCTAAAGTGGCCTCAGAGTCCCACACTGCAATCTGCCTTGAGAAAGGAGTAAATGAAAGACTTTATGTCCAAATTGCAAGTCTGGCTGGTTCTGTGTGTCCATGTTATCCATTGGAAGTCCTGAACTTAGACAAGGGCTTTATGCTTCCCTCTGTGGCTGCCTTCCACTCGATTTCTTTCACCATTCAGCATTTAAAGGAGCAATTTCAGAGCAGCTGTGGGACTGCCTCACCCTCAGTACAAAAAGAGACACTATGATGCCGAGCTTTCCCTGGAGACCTCAAGGATGAGGAAAAATGGAAAGTGCTCTTAAAATCTTATTCATAATGTTTCCTTAATAACCTAAGGGTTGAAATGACATTTGCTCTCACTTCATTACCTTAATGGCTAACACTCATTAGCTAGGGCTTCCTATGTGCCACACAGTTCTAAATACTTGAGATACATTAACCCATGTAATCTCCAGAACAGTCCTTTGAGGCAGGTACTATCTGCATTATATAGCTGAGGGACAAAAGTGCAGAAGTCATGTGACTTCTCCAAGGCCACATGGCCTTGGTTGGTGGGGAACTGTGAACCTAGGCAGTGTGTTCCCAGAGTTGTGTGCTCTGTGAAAAAAGAGTTAAGTTCTTCCTGAGCACAGATGTGCGGAGACTTGGCATATCTAGGTCTCCTTGAGATCATCAAAAGACATTCAGGAAAGAGAGTCCAGCAAATTATTTCAGTGTGTCTCTTGCTCTTCTCCCTTGCCCTAATCTCTGCACCCTTCTATGTCCCTTTTCTCAGTAGACAGCATGCCACTTTCCACCCAGTCCCCAAAACCAAAGATCCAGTTGTCTTCATTTCCCATGCCCTTCCTACCCACTCCCATCCCAATCTAAGACCAATTAGAAAAAGTGAAAAAGTGCAAGTATGAAAAAGTGCAAGTATGGGGGCCTCCCCTGGTGGCGCAGCAGTTGAGTGCTGGGCTGCGAAGCTACCCACAGTCTCTGCAGCACTGGTTCGATCACCGGCCGCCGCCGGCAAGGGTCCCACATGGTGCAACAGACCTCTGCTGCTGCGCCTGCTGCTCCCCTCAGCAGTGTATTTCATCAGTCTGCCTGTTCTGTTCCCTGCCTAGTGAGTTCTCTCACCCTCCCACGCTTCTGACTGTACCCAGTGCTTGTATAAATAAATAAATAAATCTTTAAAAAAAAGAAAAGAAAAAGAGCAAGTATGAAAAAGTGACAGTATCAATTTTTATGGGGTAAAAAATTAGGTGACCAAAATAACTTAAGAAGGGTAATTTATGGAGTATATGATAATGAAAGATAGTAGATCAATACAGAAGAGCTTCCATCCCTGATCTATATGTTTATAATATAAATGATTACATTTCAAAAAGATAACAAGTAATCCATCTTCTCTTTCTCATAAAAACATAAAATTTTATCTCCCTAAAACTGAAGATAATAATTTATATGGATTTCATGGCTGTGTATTATTTATTATATTTTTATAACATTTTTAATTTTACTTATGACTGATAAATATTTGTATAAGTGAAAACAAAGCAATAATGATAATTGATTAAGTCCTTATATGTAAAATTCAAGAGTCTAATTTTTTAACCGAGACTTCAAATGAATTTTTAGTCTAACTGTCTTCCTAGCTTTGAGCATCTATTTCAAATAGAGCTACCTGTTCAAGTACCAGGATTTTTGAAACATCAACTAATGTTTCCAATTTCTCACTTCCTGCTATTAAAAAAAATCTGCCACCCTTGTAACAAGGGATGACAGCATCTTTTGCCCAGTGACACAGAAATTACAAAGTGGCTGATTGCCTCAGAGCTTACAGTACAAGGGAAATAAAGAGACAATATGAAACAGCAGAGCCAGCCATGACAAATGTGTAATTATACTGGGTTCTTGCTATTAGTCTTTTTCGCCATTGTCACTCTTTCTCCCAACATGTTCAAAGCAGAATGGAAAGGAAGGAGGCTCCTGACCTGGTCCTGGGAGGGAGAGGAGCTACCTGGGAATGGACAATTACTAAAGTCTGGATGCCAAAGGACATGTAATGCAAAAAGAAAAGAAAAAGAACATGCAGTGCCTATCACAAATCATCTTGTTTGTTCTTTTTAGAAGAGTTTGCCAAGTTATGTGTTTGGGAACTTATTTTGTGGATGTACTTTTGTGTGGGATGATACCCTAAAAATTCTTAGAGAAGCGTGTTCTGTGAGGGAATGTTATTTTTGTTTTAAAGCACTTTTGTTTTACATAGAGCCAATTAGTCCACTTCAACTGCAGACCTCATGGAAGCCAACAGGGGGAAAAGGCCACTTCCTTTTCCAGAAGCTCAAGAAACTGAGAGATCAGTGAAGTGTGAGCTGGACAGACACAGGCCTGAATTAATCAATTTTCTAAGGTCAAATTAAGACACAGCTTATTAGTTGATATCGGCTCAGGCTCCAACAAATCCAATTTGGAGCCTTAACTATGTACCAGAAACAAGGATCAAAAACAGAATTTTTAAGTTAAAGATCATAAAGTACAACTCCTTCACTTAATAGAAAAGAAAAATGAGGCTCAGAAAAATTGATTTGCTGCAAAGAGAGAGGATGATCTGCTTAAGGTGATGCAACTAGTTAATGAAGGACTGACCTTTCGGTTACTAGACGCTGCCCAGCCCACCATACTACGGCTGCATCTCCTTGTGGCTGGTGGACCACAGGCATTGGTTGCCATTTGATAGGAGTCACAGCCAAGTGCCCAGTGCTCGTGAACAGGAGGTACAGCTGTATGTAAAACACCACTGAGTGCTGTTTTATTTATGGTGATGAACTACTCACAATGCAAGCAGTGCTCCTACTGTGGACTGCTTTCCAAACATGTCATAGGATGCAGCTCACCAAGAACCCTCAGAGAAATGGATTTGTGAGAATCATTTCAAAGATTCTTCTTGGGCAGCACGAATAAAAGGAAGTGTTTATTCTTTCTGGCCTTCGTGGTGAATTGGTTGGTTTTCCCCACTACGGGAGAGGATCCATGGAGGAGCCCTGGCACTCACCATGGAACCAGGGGGCTATGGTGTCTGAGGTTTTCTGGAACCCTGCTCGCAGCGGCAGCTGTTCCTCTTTAAACCAGCGGATGATCTCCTGGGCGGAGCTGGATGCTGTCCTCACACTTGGATTTCTGTCATGTAAGAGTAGGTTTTCAAGTTAGATTTAACTAATTTGGAAAGCTAATGCCTAAAAAAACTCTAACATATTTATGTATACACACACACACACACACACACACACACACAAATTGAGGTGGGGAGGGAACTATATGCATATGAAAATTTAATCATATGGCTGAGCTAATGAGAGGCTGAACCCCTACATTCTGCCATTCTACAATCCCCTCAAGGGCAGGAAATAGGAAAGAACACAACTCTCACTTCCTGCCCTATAGGGCTAGTCATGCGTACTGCTGTCTTAACACAGATTTTAATTCATTTTAAAGATGAATTAGAAGCTTCATTAACTCCCAATTAAAATTTGAGAAAATCAGCATTAAAAAGTAAAATACATGCCCAGCACTATTTTCCTGGAGGGCATGTACTTGCAAACAAAATAAATCAAATTCAATAACATAAACTGCTTTCCTCACATTTTCAGTTTTCAGTCCCTCCTGTTTCTACTAACCTTCCTGACTTGCTTTCTTCACTCCCACTCTTTGAAGAGGTTTGGTTCTGCCAAAAGATAGTCTCAGAAGTATGAAGAAAAAGACAGAAGAGTGTTTGAAGCTTGCTAAGAAAAAGATATAGGCAGAAAAATAGTTTTGAAATAAATTCAGTAGCAAACTTAAGTTCTGGGATGTAAGTCAATTTCCATGATAAAATGTAGCACTGCAAAGTAGTAAACCTATTTCCAAGTCCCATGCAACAGTCCACTAATTTTGAGCAAAGTTTAATATAAAAACAAATTTGGATGATAATGTCCTTTCGTGTAATTTAATTTATGGTTCTTGATGCATTTTATAGCACACATAACTATGAGAAACATGTGACATGTTAGATGCACCTATTGACATGTACACACACATTGCATGCATCCATGCATAGCAATTTGGAGAAGGCAGTGCCTAATGTTTGGTTTTCTTGGGGAGCACACACATGAGAATACATCATCAGTTTTCACACTAGCTTTGATGTTAAATTTTTTTCCTTGTGGTCTTTGGAAATCAGGCAAAAACTCCAAGGACACTGAAGGAGACAGTCTGTCTGTGGGCTGGCTCCTAGCTGATTTCATCATGTCCCAGCCCTAAAACAATCTAGCGTTAAGTGTCTTAAGTTGGAAAAAATGAGTTGATGGCATGCCCTTATTAAAGTTCTCTTTCATTGCTCTCAGTCACATTGCCCTAAGATTCAGAGGGCAAGGGTAGATCACAAGTCCAGTTCCCACCCCTGGGAGACTTGAGAGAGGGAGGACAGGACTGGGGCGCTGTGGCCAGGGCACACAGGCCAGTGTGGGCTCCAGAGAGGGCCCTGCCCAGGAGCTCACTCATTCCTTTGTGACCTGGTCACAAACCTTAAGGACACCCATTTCCTGATTACTTTCCTTGTGTTGTCCATAAGAAAAGAGCCATTCCCCAAACCGTCACTTTGTAGAACATGTCATTTTGTGTCGCTCCCCTATCCCCCAAATAGAATCTTTGAGGTGAGTAAGTAGAAATAATTACAGTAGTGGAAGACGTCCACCTTTGTGTTTCCTCTGACTCATAATCTCTGTTAGGAAAACCTTGAAGATAACTACTTATCTTCCAAGTAAAAAGAGATTTTTGTTTGTCTTTTATTTCTTTGTACATGTAACAGAAGTATTTTTAGTTTAATTTCAGCAGGAAGGTTTCTAAAAAGTTGTTTCAATAAATATTTGATTTCTCCTGGTTATATTAAATGTTCTCTTTCTACATGGTTATAATATGAAGAAATCATATCAATAATCAGGAGAAAACAATTTTATAATTGGTTCACATATGGAATATGAAGTGTTTGCTGTGATAACATTGTATTTTTCCTCAGAGGTTTATTAAAACAAATTGTTCTGCCTAATTCCCCAATAGCCTAGAAGGCAAAGATTATCTCCACGTCAGAGTGTTCATTTGAAAAAGAAGCATTTGCAAATTCTCAGCCTATGTATTCCAGAATGAGAGTTACCATCGAATCTTTAACACTGAGCAATGCTAATGCAGCTCTCCTGAAGTCATGGGTCAGCAAGAACTGGGTGCCTCCTTAGATGTTCTTTTACAACCACCAGCTATGTGGAATGGTAACTAAATCCCAGCTGTTTCCTCTTTTCCCTCACCAGCTCCCCATTGGCACTGGATGGGGTAGGGGTGGGAGGGCAGGTGACACAGGAAGTGCATCCATCTCAATGTACAACTTCTTTAAGTGACGGGGTACACAGACCTCAACTTACCATGGGGTTCTGTCCTGCTAAATCCATTGTAAATGGAAAATATTGTGTGCTGAAAATGCACCAAATATACCCGACCTACTGAACACCAAGTCTCAGCCTACCTTAAACGTTCTTAAAACGCTCACATTAACCTACAGCTAGGCGACATCATTTAACACAAAGCCTGATTTAGAATAAAGTGTTGGATATCTCTTGTATTAATAGAATACTTACTGAAAGTGAAAAGTGGAAGGTGTACCCTCATGACCACGAGGCTGAGTGGGGGCTGTGGCTCGCTGCCACTGCCCAGCAGCACAGGGAAGCTGGATACTGCATGTCGCTAGCCCAGGAAAAGGCCAAAAAAAAAAAAAGTGCAGTTTCAACTGACTGCACCACCTCATTTTGGCACCATTGCAAAAAACCATCTTAAGTCAGGGTCCATCTGTATTGATTATAACAGCTGGGGGTGTTTTACCAATACGAAGGCCATGAATGTCAGTCCAGGTACATTGGGAAGACCAGCTTGGGGGGTGGTGTCAAATTTAATTACACAGGGGCCAACTGCTCCTTCAGTGCCCACTTCCTGTGGCCCATCATGCAACTTGCCTTTAATCAGCCCATTTCAATGTTTATGCTTAAACCCACCTTTGTGGCTTCTTACCTAAGTTGTGGAAGGAGTCCTACTGGGCTCAGGAACAGAGGCTTGGGTGGAAGAGGGGGTCTTTTTGTTTTCTGTGGAATACTTGGGCGCCCTTCACCACTACTTCCTTTTTCGGCTGCTAGGGATAAGCGCTTGTAGTCTTCCCGGGCTTGTTTAGCTAAGGATCTTCTCTTCTCATCGGCAGCTTTGGATTTCCGCACTAGAAAAACAATGGGGTTTGAGAAGGAACTCATCAGTCACACAGCTGGCTGGTGAGTCAGCACTGCAGATAGTCACCAGAGCTGCAGATGGTCACCAGAGCAGGCTTTCAGCAGATGTTGTCATCCGCTGACAGTAATGCACAATCACTGCCAACACCTATGATTCAGATAGATAGGGCTTGCACGTTGAGAAGTGCCCAGCATTCGCTGCAACATTCCTCTTTTTTTTTTTTTTTAAGATTTGTTTATTTATGCATACAAGAACTGGGGTAAAGGCCAGAGGTTTTACTGGGGTAAAAACTGCGCCATGTGGGTATCTCCCTGGCTGGGGATCGAACTCATGCTGCAAAGGCTGCAGATAGCTTCATAGGTTGCGTCTTAACCCCTTGCACCACCAGGGAGGCCCTGCAGCATTCCTCTTTCTATACAGGAGTTTGGGGACTTTTCCGAGAGAGAGCAAGAAGAAAGAGGAGAAGGGACGAGACAGAAATTAAAAACCACATGTTGAAGAATTTCCTGCAGTTGGCAAGGCTAAATGATGAGCTGGAGCCTGAGTGAGTATCCAGCTTGTGGGACAAGGGGTGCGGAGTGTTCAGTCATCAGAGGTGATGTCATGTCCCTCACACACCCAAATTCGGGATGTTATGTAGCCTGAGCCGCTAGCAAAGGTTGGGCCAGCAGGACCTCCTCAGTGCTGTGGCTGGGGACAGAGTGACAGAGCAGCAAGGTGGTAACACTCTGAGACCACCTCTGAGCTGAACCAAACATGAGTTGGCCAAACAGACCAAAAAAAAAAAAAAAAACCAGTGATGTTTTGATCATAGGTAATCGGAGAAGATGTTGGTATACATAAAATTTCCCCAGGGCTGCCTTTTAGTATCACTTTGTAAAATAGACAGCTTACCATTTTGTTTTATTTTAGCAACATGGTATTAAAGGACTCTAATAAGGGATCTAAAAACAATATTTATTGAGTGTATTTACACTTTGGGCATGACTGTAATGTTTGACTTCAAAGATGCCAACAATTTTTCATTACCATAGGATTTCATGGTGTAGAAATGAATGGCTCCTGCAAATATTTTCATTTCACAAAAGTTGACATATTAATGATGTTTGTTGTAATGTCACTAAGGTTCAATTTAGGATTCTCACTTTCCTGTCCCTGTTCTCTTCCTCAAGTGGCCTACAGGCTTCTTTGCAGACCTGTTTCAAACCTGAATTTCCTACGTTCCCTGGGCATGTCTGCCCTGCCTCTATATGCACTGACGAGTTCCTGAGGAGGGCATCTCGGCAGTGCTAACTTACAAAGGAGTCAGGGCTGGGCCATGGACTTGGGAGGAAGCAGATAGTCCCAGTCTGTAAGCCTGAGCTCTTCTGAAACCGAGTTAAGATGTGTTCACTGTCGAAAATTTAGAAAAATACAGAATAACAAGATGATTTCAGAGAAATAATCACAAACCCCACCTGTCCAAGAAAACTAATATTAACATGTTAATAACCTTCCAATTTTTCCTTTATTTCCTTAGATTTTTTTTTTTTTTTAAGATTTATTTATTTATTTATTTATACAAGCACTGGGTACAGTCAGAAGCACGGGAGGGTGAGAGAATTCACCAGAGCCAGAGCGGGGAGCAGAGCAGGCAGAAGGACCGAAGTACACTGCTGAGGGGAGCAGCGGGCGGCAGGAGAGGTCTGCGCGCCATGTGGGACCCTCCTCTGGTGGCCGGGGAGCAGCTGGGGATCAGCCGGGGATCGAACCGGCGCTGCAGAGGCTGCGGGCAGCTTCGCAACCCAGCGCTCAACCGCTGTGCCACGGGGAGGCCCTATTTCCTTAGATGTTTTAACATAGGACATCTTTCATACTATTTTGCTTTCTTCTTCTCTAAGATTAAAAGATGAAAACATACTCTAAGGCCATTAAACACTCTCCCAAAACTTGTTTTTCTTCATAGCTCTATACCCTTCTGTCACTTCGATATAGTCTAATTTTTATAGTGCAAAGTTGAATTGAAAAACTTCCTTCTATTCAACAAGGAGCTCATAACCCTTTGAGTAACAATTTAGTGTGAAAATATCTCTCAATGACCACGTTAAGTGTTTGCCCAATGGATCATTTAATTAAGTGAGCATGTCACCCTAGAGAGACACAGGGGCCGGGAGGCCCGGGCACTCACAGGAAGCCTGCCACTCCGAGTCTTCCCTCCAGCTCTTATAAATCTGCTTGGTTTTCTCATCCTCTACTTGCTTTATTTCTTCATCTTGTGTTTTCTTCATGGATTCTTTCTTCTGTTTAAAAAAACAAATAGGATGTTAAGTAGACATATTGTGGTACACATTTCTTAATGTGTGAGATAACAAATCATGACGTTTACACACCTGAAACTAATACAGTATTATGCGTCATCAGTTATACCTTAGTTTATAAAAAGGCAAACATTTGTCTGCATTCCCATAGTTTTCTGCCCAAGGAGGGCATGCGGAACACCAGGTTTCCATTGCACACCCTCTGTCCCCTGGGGAGGCAGTCTGGTGTTGTGGGTAAGGCCCAGGCTTTGGTAGCTGCCAGACCTGCAGCCAGATCACCACAGCCTAGTTATACTACTTGTTGGCTACTAGAACTCTCTCAGCTCTTTCCCCCTAAGTAAAATTAGAAAATTAAAAATATTTCACACACACAGTTATGATGAGGGTTCAATATTTTAAAGTGGGTAGCAAAGTGTGTAACACATAGTAAGAATTCAATAAATATTCATTTCCCTCAGACTTAGCACTTATCTGCGTCAAAATGAATTCCCTGAGGTGGTGGCTAAAGGCCGTTTCCTGGCACCGGAGTAAACACTACAGCACAGCAGCTTCCACAGGAGAGCAGCGCATTCCTGAGCCATCTCAGCTGTACCTCCACATGCCCTTCACCCATGTACCTGGGGGTGTGGCGCTTACACTTGATTTTAGGTGGCTCAACAAAGAATATTTTTCTGTTTTTGAAACAATAACAGAAAACTATTTCTTTTTTAAAAAGCATCCTCTGTGAGAAGGGAAAATATAAGAAATGCAAGTCTTCCTTTAAAAAGGAATTTGGTGGGGTTTATTTGTCGTGAAATATATATAACATAACAGTTACCACATAACCCCTTTGTAAGTATATTATTCTGTGGCTTCATGTGCAGTCAAGAGAATTTGTTTTTAACTAACAAGGAAGTAACATACCAACTCAGACCTAAATAGCACTTTGCATTTTTGATACAGCTTCTGAGTGCTCACAAGCAAACTAACAACTCAGTGAACTGAATAAAAGCCTTGACTAGTAAAGAATGAAACAAGCTGAGGTCAAAAAAAAGTCGGCTGGGTTCTTTATCACAAAAATGACAGATTTTCTTCTTTTGTGTTTTACTATAGAAAGATAAAGACTGTCTTACTGTTGAATTGTCTCACAACTAAAATATAAACCTTGATGTGGTAAAAGTTGTTTTCTTTCACTGTGGGAAGTCACAAATCTCAGTTGACATAGAACATGGTGATAATTCACAATCTGCTCTTCACTTCAGAAGTAACTAAACATTTTGCATTTACTGTTTTCATTTTATCCTTACATTCTTTTCCTGCCTAGAGCTAAGCCCCCTTTGTCTGCTAGTATTATAAAAACCAAAACACAGATTTCTGTGGTTTGAAATGGCTGTTGAAATTTGCCACCCAGTAACTGAAGCTATTTACAACCCTGAAATATGTGAGTGCTGTGGGCAATTTATAAGCTTAAATGGGAAAAAAAATGAAAGTTGAGTTTTGTTCATCTCTGACATGCATACGTACTTATTTTTAAATGACTAGAAAAGATATAGATATTGCATTAAAATATGATAGCGTGGATATTGTTGCTTAGGATAAGCAGACAGTTTACAAAGTGAGTTTGCTTTGGAAAAATATTAAGTAAATAATAATGCAGGTCCTTGGTTGATAAGATGATGCTGATATGCTATATTTAGTAAGTCATGTTCCTTTTAAATCTGCGGTGTACTTATATATGGGACAGTGGAAAAGGAGACACATGAATGAGTTTCAGAGAGTAATAACAGATGGAATAGGCTCTGGCAATTGAACTTACTCAAAGCAATTGGAAAGTTTAAGAACTTGCTCAGAGTTTCTCTAAGAATTCCTCCAGGAAACTATTTTAGCAAATACTTTACAAGTTGGTCTTTATTTAGAAAATCATCATTATGTCTTTTAGAAGAGTATTGCAGGGTAGGATGGGGACTGTGACCAGGCCTGGGAAAATCAGGCGATCACTTGGAGTGAAGGGACAAAAGGACAAAAATTAGACAGTGGTCTGGACGCTCAACATCAAGGTGTGGATGTGTCTGTAGAAAGCCTGTCATCTGTACTTGCAGATGCAAGCAGTTCCTCATGAGGAAGTTTCCTCATTAGACCCTCACTCTGGAAGTAGGAAGCCTACTTCATTATCTTTGTCCAACAGAGAAATTAGTAAGTACTCATTCATTTTCTTGAATTGATATAACTTCTTCAGTTAGAGAAGGAGGAATGAATGGCATATGGCTTCGGGCTCGCTCATGAGAGCATGTGGAAATGTGCAAGTCTGGCTGTGTCACATCTGAAAATATGTGAGAACCACGATCTAGTCCACCCCATTTACTTTAGAGGCAAGAGACCTCAGACCCAGTCTAAATTCTGTGGTGCTTCTGACCACTTCTCTTTCCAGCTAAACTCATTCTCCAAATGATCTCATTTTGAGTCATGGCTGGAAACAACACTTAGATACCAAATTCCTTGAAGGACCACAGAACACATACATGGTTTCTCCACCCTTATGCCCCTTCTCATTAACTAACCTCTGTGACATTCATCCACTGTGTTAAGCAAGCTCTTGCCTCTGTGCCTTCATCCTTGCTCTTCCCTCTGTCTGGAATACACTCTCCCCAGTTTTCCACAGGGTCCCTCCTCACCCCTTCGGTATCACCTTCTAGGCCTGGCCTTCTCTGAATATCCTCTCATCATTCCTCAGCTCGTCCTGCCTTATTTTCCTCCTTAGCACTTACGGTCACCTGACTTCATAGAAATGTTTATTGTCTGACTCCCCCAGCCAGAATATCAGCTTCTCAAGAGTAGGGATTTCTTCTGTTTGATTCACCTTCTTCAAAGCCCTTAACAGTGGCTAACATATAGGTGAAACTCAATAAACATTGGTTGAATAAATGACACTGTTTTTCTCATCTGTCCTTATTTAAAATGATATACACTGAAAATTTCCTTTAGACACTATTGCTGTGGTTTTAGAAAGAAAGTACATAATATATCAGCAGTATGCATACCAGGACTATAGCTCCAAAAAATTCATCATGGTTTATTGAAGTCTCAAAAGTGTGAGCTCTCTCAGTTCATGCATGTCCCTACAGAGGAGTGAAGAAATCGATTCTGTTGTCCACAGGAGCTCAGATTGCAGACTGGCCTCCACCACAGCCATGACCTCAGACCTGTGATGATGCAGACCCTTCACTCTACAGCCTGCATCCACTTTTTCAGAATTTCTGTGGGTCAAATCCTAAGATTTTAAGTGCCAGCCTATACCTCATTTGCTGTGAGCTAAATAAGGATGTGGCAACAATCCAGTGGGATGTCCCATCCAGATGGATGGGAGTGTTCTGTGTGCCCAAAAGATACTGGCATAGTTGACACTGGTGCATAAGAAGCTGCTGATCACAAAGCCACAAACACAAAAGGAACTTTATCTGAATTCACAGATTCTTGCCAAGGTCAATGCTTTGCCTGTCATACTCCAAAATCAGTCTTCCCTCTGTGTCTGCAGCTGCCCAGGACAGCGTCATTGCTTGAGATCTTGGGTGAGTTTAGCAGATACGTCTTGGCATCTGTTATTTCCATGATACTTAAGACTGTTCCAACTCCAGATAAGTAGGTAAAGATGAATAGCTATGCTCACAAGCCTTTAAGACAAATTTCACATTCTGCTGCTTAATTACATGTCTGCATGAGACTGATACACCAGCCTGTGAAACATTAGTGGAAATGGCTATGCATTTAGCCCCCTGAAGACAGAATATAAGTCTTTTACCTGGTGAAATCCAGATGCCTTCATACGATTGATAGAATCTGCCAACATTTGTTCAATATTTCTTGGGGAACAGGAGGGTGACTAAAAATTAAATGAAACACATTTTTATGCCATTTAGAGCTGCAATGCAATTTCAGAAGATAATCCGTTCATGCTTTCTTCATTTCTACGTTCCCTAGTGTTGTCCCCAACCCGACAGCTGGATCCACCAAAGTTTCCCATGGACACCTGTGTTCCCAAGCCAACCCTGACAGAGGCAGCTGCTGTGTGAAGCCTCAGCCTCCCCATTTCCAAGGCTTAGAAATGAATTATTGCCCAGGAGCTCAGAAATTGTTGTTTGCTTATGACAAGTGTATTTGTGCGTCTTGCTCCCAGCTTGAGCTTGCCCCTGGGGCCTCTAGGATGACTTCTAGACATTAACATTACTCCCTAATTTAAATTTTCTTCTTCCTCTCAATCCCTGCTCTACTCCATCCCCTGTTTTAGGTCAGACCAGAGAAAACACTTAGTCTCTGCTATTTAATCAAGCCTTGCTCCCCCTCTAGGATGGAGGCATGCCTGGAATACCAGTTTGGTGCCTGGGAGCCAAGCCCAGTTTCCCTGCCTGATCACACTCCTCTCCTCCTCCTGCCCTCATTACCCAGCCCACCATGTAGGTTTCAGCTGTTCTAGATGGATTTCCCAGGAGATAGCTCCTGCCAATGGAATTCCCAGACACACTGCCTGGATTCCCTCCTTCATTCCTGCCTGCTGTATGCTAACCCCTCTGGCATAATGACCCAGCTGGCATCACACTGGGTGCCTCTGAAGGCCAGGTCAGTTACACAGGCCTCTGCCACCCTGTTCCTATCTGAGTGCAGAGTCTGGACCAAGTCCCAGCCTGAGTAGACAAATGCCCTATACAGTTGCATATAGCACCCCTCCACAACACATGACTTACATGCCTTTTGCTGAGGACCCACTCCTGAATTTTGGCACAGATCAAAACTGCCAGAAAAAGGTTGGTACCAGGATTCAATATGAAACACTGAGGGTACTTAAGGTCATTGCTGTGCCCAGGAATACACAAGTGGGGTTACCTCACATTGTGCCCATTTTTCACAGTAGCTGGGCATATGGTTTCCCACCTACACTGCATTTCCCAGCAGTCTAGCACCTAGGTGTGCACTTGTAAATAATTTATCTTTAAGTCATATAGTGCAGGCAACAATTAGTATTTGCCACTTCTTATGCAAGCCCTTCAAACCCTCTTCACACCTGCCTCCAGGTCACTTCCCATTTCCTCTGGGTGGGAATGGTGACAATAGTCACACCACCATGAAGACAGAGCCACCTAAATCATGAGTCCCTGAATGTGTGAGTCTGGATCCTCCTGGACCAGATGTCTACCTGGATGTTATAAGGAAAAAGATGAACTTCTAATGTGTTTTTTAATTGAATTATTTTTTATTAGTTTACAGCACCATATATCATTTAGAGATATAGGGTGATAACTCTTTAAATATATGCCGCCACATCACACCTACCACCAGCACACCTGTAGTCCTCACTACAGTCCATTGGGCCCCTCCTCCCTTTACTTTCCACCCTCTTCCTCCCCATCTGGTAGTCTCAACTTAATCTAAATAAACTCATAAAACTGCAGGTGGCTCAATTCATCCTCTCTCCTGAGACTTTTTCCTAATCAGGGGAGCGCTATTAATGGTCATTCCACTGATTGCTATGAATCACCGATAGCCTGTTATGACCAGGCATTGTGTTGGTGACTAGTATTGTTTTCACTCCTCACAACACCTCTGATGGATGGGCGCCTTTAGGTGCAATGTAGACAAAGACAGGTATTCTCAGGAGAATTGGGATCACACACTGGTTTGTGCCAGAGCTTGTGTTTTCCTCACTATGTCCACATTATAATGCTAGAAAAATGAGATGTAGGACAAAAGATTTCATGTTCATTACTTAGCAAAGTAATGCATCCTCTAGGCTTCACAATTGCTCTTTGCCCTATTCTAGCTCATTTAAATTTTAATATTATAAAAGGACACATAGCTGTTCTGCATCTGAAACAGTACAGTTCAGTAACCCTCTATTTATGAACAGGTTAGAACTGTCCCAACAGGCCTTACATAAGGATATCTGCTCAAAAGTCCAAGGTGACTGTGAAGGGCTTGTATCCAGTATCCATTTTCTGAATACATTTCCACCATAATGAATGTGCGCTTAAAGCACAGACTCACTCCCCTTTTCCTTGGTGATATAAGATCTGTGGGGCATAATTTTGCAAAAACAATCAGTTAATTCAATGCTGAAAATTAGGAGACCTTGATACCCCCTCCAGTATAACAGACGATGCTGCGACTTCACTATCTGTGCTCCCAGCCTTGCCTGCTGCAGAAGGAGCTGGACCTATGAACTAGCAGAGATTTGGACTGAGTTTTTGCTAGCTGTGCCTCCACCATGCTCAGACTTTAAGCTCTTGAACAAACTCTTAGTAGTTTCCTGAATTAGCATGATGTTAATAGGCTCCAGACATAGCTCTTCTCACTCATAGATTCCAAGTACTGTCTACTTTGTCATACACCAATTAGTGTCATTTGCATAAACACCACACTTTAGACTATGGTATGATTTATTTGTCCCTTAGAATTAATCCCTCATCTGAAATATTCATCTCATGTATACATACAACATTGTTTTCCTACCATTTGTTTTTTTAATTACCTTAATTTTTTTTCTACCATCATATGCCTTTTCTTATTAGCACTTTCATGATGCTCATGTTTTTGCACTTAATCATACAGGATGGGGTAACTGCCTTCCTGAAAACTCAAAACTCAGCCCAGACACATGAGCAGACAATGAACCGGAGGGACCACTGTGGCTGTCAGCACCATCTACTGGTACCAGACAGAGCTGGCATCCTTTCTTTGAAGTGTTAGGCTTTGTTTTTAGTATATCAAAGCTCAAAGTTGGTTCTTGAGTAGCAGATTCTTAGCATAAATAGTTGATTCATTTAACAACCATCCCAGAGAGAGACATTTCTATTCAAATAATTCTGTGTCTAAAAGATACTATAAATTCTAAAACTATCCACACATACTAATAACCACATTTATAAAAATTCTGATTTTCAGGGTGAACCAAGATTTGCCATTATTCCAAAGCATTAAAATAATTTGAGGATGTTCATTTAGACTTGCTTTTCCTTCCTTGCACCAGGGAAAGCATGTTTGTTTGGATACACTTACATACACAAATCCATGAGCTAAACCAAGAACAATGCAATAGGCTGAAAAGTATCGTGATCTGAGAGTTCCTCTATTAAGAAACAGCCAGATTACTGGTTCAAAAGTGATGATTTATGATGCCAATACAGTGAAAGACAAGTTCTGGCAAGACGCTGCCATCAGAATTCCCAGGGTGAGGAGGAGCCTTAGAGAGGAGGTCACACCCTCCTCTCTGGACATGATGCTATGTACTAGGAATATGTCTTTAATTATTGCTATTTGCAACCAAGGAAAGAAAACTACCCATCTACTTAATTACAGAATTTTTGGGCCTTCAAGTCCCATACACTGTTTGATTTTCAAATCAACTCCAGAAGGGTGGTTGGTAAAAGTAATTGTCCCTTTACCAAAGAGCTAATGACCTGTAATAAGGAGACAGGAGGTGAACCCATGTCCTCTTGGTGTCTAAGCTTGCTCTGTACATGGGATGCCTGAGAGAACATGTGTCTGTTGTCATGTATGGAGCCACAGCACAGCAGATACCTCCTATCATGACATCACAGAAACTTCTGCAGCTGCTCTAACTGTATGGGCAGAGTTAAAGCAATCTTATCTTTTTCACATTTGCTTTATTTAAAAATAAAGCCCTGCCCTGGTGGTGCAGGTGGTTGAGCACAGCGCTGTGAAGCTGTCTGCAGCCTTGGCAGTGCCGGTTCGATCCCCACCAGCTGTGGAGAGACACAAATGGCATGACAGACCTCTCCTGTCTCGCCCCCGGCTCCCCTCAGCAGTGTATTTCAGTCAGTCTGCCTGTTCTGTTCCCCGCTGCTTTGTCTCTGGTGATTCCTCTCACCCTCCCGCACATCTGGCCTGTACCCCGGTTCTGGTATAAAAAATAAATAAACTTTTAAAAATAAATAAATAAATAAATAAAACTGCATTGGCATATTTATGCCATGCTCCAAAAGAAAAGAGAAAATGTTGAAATCAATGACATCAGAAGCAAGTGGCTTTCCTGCAACCATGTGATCAGAATGACTCTCTAATCAGTACGGTCTGGCTAGACTTGGGAGAGAGTCCATCTGCATTGACTAAAGGATGCTGAGTATATATTTAACTAGCATTAAACTTAGAAGTACAACAATTCAAATTTACATAATCAGATTATCAAAATTTGCTTCTAGTAACACCAATATTATATGGTTATCTCCCTCTGCAGACTATATGTCATATGAGGATTATTCTAATTATATTTTTAAAAGATTTATTTATTTATGCATACAAGAACTGGGGTGCAGGCCAGAGGTGTGGGGGTAAGAGGATTCACCAGAAACAGAGTGGGGCGCAGAACAGGTAGATATACTGAAATCCACTGCCGACGGGAGCAGCAGGTGAGAGAGGAGAGGTCTGCTGCACCATGTGGGTTATCTCCTTGGCCAGGGATGGAACTCATGTTACAGCAGCTGGTGATACCTTGATAGCACTGTGTCTTTAACCCCTGGGCCACCAGGGAGACCCCTATTCTAATCATAATAACTTTAAACTGGCTTGAAAAACATATCATTCTAAGTTACTATTACTCTACTTAAAAGCAGGGCTGTGCAATCAAATGCCAAGTGCCTTTAATTCAGACAAATCAGAGTCCCAATAAAATGACTATTTTCAGCACTCAATTTTGATGGTGAAGATAAAACTGAATTTATAGGTTAAAGCTTACTTTTGAAAACAAAACACTAAGTTAAGACTTACTCTTTTTTTCAGATCCAATTCACTACTCAAAATTTTGGTTTACGTTTTAGGGATACTTTTCCCATTCTGTTTACAGTGGGCTCCCTGTTATAAGATGAACCTGAC